TTCATAAATAAAGCAAGTAACTGGATCATCCTGTGTTCAGAGAGTCATCAAATGAGTATTTGGAAGTACTATATTTGTAGGAAGATATTTTCAAAAGCTGGTTAAAAGCCCAGCTCCTGTTGTTTAATTGAACCTCTGGAAACTTGCCACTAATTACATGGCATTTTTCTGTCCAGTTGCTTTGTTTGTTAAATCATACAACCAGTTCACGCCAACTTTCCTCATAATTCAATATGCTCTGCCTTACTAGAAAAGAAACAGCTAGATGGTATGGCATTTAAACCCTTTTATCAAAATTAGTAAGTAAAATTGAATGTAGAAGCACTGTACAACACATACCTTTCCATACTTGCTGAAAAGGTTCTTCAAGTCCGTAGCTCTGGTAGAAGAGGAAAGTCCACTAACCCACAAATTTCTACCAGAACTGCTACTTGCACGACCTAATTTAAAAAAATTATTAAACACTGCTATATCAGAGAAGTGCTGCATTTAAAAAACAATTTCCCTAGCTTTCATAAATTACAGCCCATACTAAATCTAAACTATACTACTACTTCAATTCCAACATTTAGACCTGCCCATCACTCTTAAGTACACGAGGTTTAATTTCTGTATCTCAAAAACAAACCACTTGTGTTGTGACATGCATAGTGATAAAAGCATGATATGGTATTTTCAACTAGAGAGTTTCTGCAAAAAAACCAAACAACCCACTACTAGAAACCTGAATTTCTTTAATGACTACCCACAGAAAGTAGAAATCTCATCAGAAAGTTTTAGATGATGTTTTTAAAGTTTTGCCTTTACTGCAGTCCATCAGCAAGACTATTTTATACAAGTTAGAGCTAATCAAAAGTAACAGGTCTTGTTAGGAGAGACAATCAATGAAAAATATTGAAAACAAGGAACAATCCTAATCACACTACAGTTAACTTAAATTACAAGAAAGCTAAATCTTCATTGCACTGGCAATCTTCCCTGAAGACATGAGAAATGCACACTGAATAAAGCAATTTACCAATTTCCCTCTTAGCATTACTGTGCTTTCAAAGGCACATCCTAATCCTGAAAAAACCCAATTTATGCGTCCACTTAAATGCTACTACTAGGAGCAATCCCACCAAGATGAACAGAACTAAAGCACAGCGCAGTTAGGTATACACTTAAGTGAAGGCAAGATTATGGCCAAATGAAACCCATTAAAAAAAAAAAAATAAAAAAAAAAAAATCGGCCAAAACATAAGCCTGATTATTCCCTTGAATTCTGATGACCTCAGTCAATTTGTCAGGATTTGGCCCAATAATTTTTTTCCAATATCAGTCTCGTTTCTAAAACCTACCTTTCTCATCTTTTGAGACTGTCTTTGTCTCTGCATCCTCAATAGAGCTAAAGACAAAAAATAATGTTAGTGAACAAAGAATAATCAGAAACAAAACTAACTCTTATATGCACTAGCATTCAATACCTACCAGAAAATTAGTTGAGAAATAAAAAGACCTTTGCAAACTTGTTTTAAGAAATCTGACAAGAAATAAGGGAAGTCATTTGCTTAAAACAGATAATTAATTCTGTTTGGCACATAATAAAAATTAGGAACAAATTAAGAAAACAACCTTTGAAGGTTGAGGAAAGGAAAGAAATCAAGACCTTGGTTAAAAACTGCACAAGAAACAAAAGAGATTCTTTAGGAATAAGCTACAATTTCATC